GAGAGGGAGAAGCAGGCTTCCCGCTGAGCAGGGAGCCCGATGCGGGGCTCGATCCCAGGACTCTGGGATCATGACCTGAGCCGAAGGCAGACGCTAACAACTGAGCCACCCAGGCGCCCCTCCTGTGAATTTCAGAATGCACAATGTGGATGCCCTACTTACCCTGAGACAAGGGGGAAGGCGGGGGGAAGGAGGTGAAGAGGTAGAGGTCACGTCCCGAAGAGCCTTGAAGGGTTTGGTACTTGATTTTTGGATACTTGAGTGAGGGGTGTTCAGCATTTCAGAACAGAGAAGGAGAAGTGTAGTTGAGAACGCTCGCCTCAGGGTGCCTGGGTGGCTCAGTCGTTAAGCGTCTGCCTTCGGCTCAGGTCATGGTCCCAGGGTCCTGGGTTCGAGCCCCACATCTGGCTCCCCTTCTCCCTCTCCTGTTCCCCCTGCTTGTGCGTGCACTCTGTCAATAAATAAACAAAATCTTAAAAAAAAAAAAGAATGCTCACCTCAAAGAAGTCAGTGTCCATCAGCGGATGGATAAACACAACGGAGTCTGTCCATGCGACGAACATGATTCTGCATGAACAGGAGCGAAGCACCGGCAGGTGCCACAAGATGGGAGAACCTTGGAAATGTCACGCGACACAAAAAGAGCCAGACACAAAAGCCCACGTGGCGCGTGATTCTATTTACAGGCGATGTCCAGAATAGACAGACCCATAGGGACATAAAGTAGGTTACGGGTTGCCAGGGGCTCGGGGCTGGGGGATTGGGAGGAAGGGGGGAGGCAGCTGGGGGGGTACAGGGTTGTTTTTGGGGGGTGATGAAAATGTTCTAAAATTGATTGTGGTGATGGTCACCCCACGACTCCCTGTAAGTGGTGTGTAAATGGAATTGTCTGGTATGTGAGTTACATCAGCATAAAGCTGCTTGCAAGACTACTTGTGGAGATCCCTTCCCAACTTAGGGGAAATGGAGAGAGAAATAGGGTCAGGGCTTCAGAGCCTCCGGCCTGGACTCAGAGTGCGCATTCTCTCTCCCCCCGCCCCCAGAACTGAAATACCCGGGGAATGGCTCGTCTCTTCCAGTCCTTGAAGGGGAATCTCTGCTCCTGGTCTGTGCTTCTGATAGCAACCCTCCTGCCACACTGAGCTGGGCCCAGGGGAGCTGGGCCCAGGGGAGCCGGACTCTGGGCCCCTCCCAGCCCTGGGAGCCGGGGGTCCTGGAGCTGCCCCGAGTGGAGCTGGGCCACGGAAGCAAATTCACCTGCCAAGCTCAGAACTCCCTGGGCTCCCAGCACGTCTCCCTGCATCTCTCTGTGGTCTGTGAGTGTGGGGACCCCTGGGGGCAGGCTGCCCAGGGCCTGGGCAGGAGAGACACCGCTGACCCCTCACCTCCCTCCCGCAGACCCCCCGCGGCCGCTCAGCCCCTCCTGCTCCTGGGAGGGCGAGGGGCTGCACTGCAGCTGTTCCTCCCGGGCCCACCCGGCCCCCACCCTGCGCTGGCGGCTGGGGGAGGGGCTGCTGGAGGGGAACCACAGCAACGCCTCCTGGACCATCACCTCCAGCTCTGCGGGGCCCTGGGCCAACAGCTCCCTGAGCCTCAGCGGGCCGCTGGGCTCCGGCCTCAGACTCAGCTGCGAGGCCCGGAACGCCCACGGGAAACAGAGCGCCGCCTTCCTGCTGCTGCCAGGTCCGGGGGCTGTCGGGGGCCAAGGTGTAGGGGAAGGGAGTCTGGGTCCTAGAAAAGACGGTCTGGGGGTGGGTCCCCTCTCCCGGGCCTGCAGGGGAAGGCGTGAGAGAGAGGAAGGGTGTGGGGGCTGAAGAACTGAGCGCCCGAGTTCCTTGGGAAGAGGGGGCACCAGGGTCCTGGGGCTCGGAGGGAACTCACCCGAAACCCCACTCACCTGCAGGGAAGCCTGAGCTTGGGGGAGGATTCGTTCTGGGGGCTGTCGGGGGTGCTGGTGTTGCCGGCCTGCTCAGTCTCTGTCCCTGCCTCATCTTTTTCATGTGAGTGTTGCCCCTGGGAGAAAGGGTGTGTGTGGGGCAGAAGGGGTCCGAGTCCTGGGGTCCCGGGCAGCCCCAGCCGGAGGGGCCTGGGTGGTGCCCAGGCCCTGAGAATTGGGGATCCCAGCCATGCCCATTCTCACGAGTTGACAGGCTCTGTACGTCCCCTCCTGTCAGCCTCTTAAGCGGGGGATGGTAGTGAGTCCGCTGGGCGGCTGACAGGTCCTGGCCTCCCCGTCAGGGTGAAGATCTGCAGGAAGCAGGCACTGGAGCCAGCAGCTCGTGGGAAGGATGTCGCCTGCACGCTGGGTCCCCTCTCCCGAGTGAGTGAGGAGTCCTCTGTCCGTCAGGATGCCATCTGGCCACTACCCCGGGATGGCCATGGCCACACCCCTCTAGATGACTTAGATGGTCGTTATGCCTCAGACAGACTTTTGTTCCCAGGCCAGTGACCTGGGAGTCACTCTCCCCTCTGCTCTCTGACGTCTTGCAGAGCTAAAGACCATTCACGTCTGTCCATCTTCCTGTGTTCACCTGGACCCTCCTTACCCCCGCCTCCTCATCCCTCCCTGGACCCCAGGCCCATTTTCTCCTCCTTCCTCTCTCTCCTCCCTGACACAGGATGCTAGATGGGTCGCCCCAAAATGACAAAGTTCAGGGGCCCCCCAAGACACTCTCAGGTTCAATAGCTCACCGGAAGGACTCACAGAACTCACTGGGATCTGTTATGCTCGTGGTTAGTTTATTACAGGGAAAGGACACAGATTACAGCAGCCAAGGGGAGAGCCACCTGCACGAACCTTCCAGGTCTCTCTCCCAGCGGAGTCCCATAGACAGCGCTGATTCTTCCCAGCACCGGTGTGTGATAAGAGGCGGGGGGCGGTGGTATTGCCACCAGAGAAGCTCACCCCAGCCTTGTGTCCTGTGTCTATTGGGGGTCGGTCATGTGGGTATGGAGCACCTGTATGTCTGACCTTTGTTACGCGGTCTCCAGCCCCTCTAGAGGTCAAGCTGATAACTGTGTGGCCCAAGGCCCCAGGTGAACAGAGACACTCCCATCAGACAGGACCTTCCATTGGCTTAGAGGTCCCCTCTCAGTGCTGGGGCGAAGGGTCAAACCTTTCTTTGGGCATGATGAGCCATTTACTGCACAGTATCTTTTGCTTTTAGGGGTTCATGGTATCATTTTGTGATTGTGTTTGCCTGAACTTCTGATTCTGAAATGCTGAGTGGTCCCTGAGGGCAGTTCAGTTCTGAGCAAATCCCTGTCCTTCTCACACCACCCACCCCATTCCTGAGTGTCCTATCACAATTTGCTATTAGATAGTAATATAATTGACTACTACCATAATGTCAGCTTCCCCCAGTGCGAACTAGCTGGAGGTAATGGATGATGTCTGCTTTGTTCCCCACCGAAGAGCCAGGGCCTGGCACGGGTCAGCTGTTCCAGAAAGTGGCAGACACTGGGGCCAGACAGACCTGGGTGTTAATCTTGGCCCTACCAACAACTCAGCATGTGATTTTGGGACATTTACTCAGCCTCAGTTTCTCCACCAATAAATGGGGATAATCGTGTCTCCCTAATGGCTTGTTGTGAGGAATCTAGGAGCCTGGCAATTGATTACCAAGGGCCAGGCATTATTAGTCTCAAATACTTATTGAATGAATGAATGAATGAATGGGGGCGCAGCCAACGTTTGCAGAATGAATAGATGAAAGACTAAGTGCTCAGTTTCCAGGTCTGCTAGTGGATCCTCTTTGCTATCTGCCAGCTCCCATTACCCTAATTGGACCCCCTTCTTCGCTTCCACTCAGGGTTACCAGCCTGAGTATCCGTCAGGCACCCCCCCACCCTGCCTGCCCCCAGCCATGGCCGCTCCCACCTTGGAGGAGGACCAGGAGCTCCATTATGCCTCCCTCACCTTCCACGAGCTGAGGCCCTGGAAGCCTCAGGACCCCGAGGGCCTCAGTACCACCAAGTATTCAGAGATCAAGATCTGCAAGTGATGACCCCAGACTCCAGCGAGCTCCCGCGACCTCTGGGTAGAGAGCCCAGGGCTTTTCAGGAAGGGAGACATCGGGGGACAATTCCTGAGAGAATAGTTTGCCATGGAAACGGGTTACCAACCAGTGAGTGGGCATCCCACTGGTGTGGTGATGGGCAGAACGGGGCTCAAATTTCAGCCCGGCACCAATTACAAGCCCAAGTCCCAGCAAGTCACTTGACTTCTCAGTCTCTCCCTCTGTAAAGTGGACGCAAAAAACCTAACTCACTGGGCTGTTGTGGGGCGTCAAGGTGGCAATGAACATGAAGGGTCCAACAAGGGTGCAGGTGCAGAGAGCACCTTGCCCGAGCTCACGCCTCTTCCCAGGGCAGCCCACCTGGTGTCAGGGTCTGCTCTGGCCCCTGCCTCTGCAGGGATGGTCTAGCTCCAGAGGTCCCACCCCCACCCCCCAGGATCCCTGACCCCCGGGGTGCTTCCTCAGGAACACTCTGAGCCTGCTTCCTGGGAACCCAACTTGTGTATTTTCACCGCACAGAAAATCATTCACGACTTTTCTGAAAGAAACGACAGGTTATCTAAATTATATACCTCTTTCTTTATATGTCCCGGATGTTTTCGTTCTCCTCAACAGGGTCTTCTTTTTGTAGAATTGGCTTATAAAATTCCTTGCAGTTATGGTCTGCGTCCCATTAACACTGCAATATCGTGTTAACCTTAAAATAAAAACCGCCAGCTCCTTTACCAGCGAAAATAGATCTATTGGGTGAATAAACGAGAGCTGTGCACCGCAAAGAGCGTTGACCTCCAAACCGTAGGCAAGTCTGAGGAACAAAGCAGAACCACGTATTTATGGAGAAAAGGGGCAAATGGGGAAGGCTGTTATAAACTAAAAGTCCATTGGAGTAAACTGGGAGTTGGAAGTATTCTGGCTTCTCATTGGTTGAGCTGTTGGGGGGGGGAGGGGTGGGACTAAGAAAAGCCAGTCTTCCTCCCCCTGATAGTAGAGTAGTAGCCTCGTGGTGCAAGGTCAAGCCCGTGCAAGGTCAAGTCTGTCTCTTCCGGTTGGGTCTGCAATTGACTATGCGTGGTAGGGCATTAGAGCGCTCCCTGCCGAACCCACCCGCTTCATTTCAGCGCGGGTTTCTTTCTTTCTTTTTTTTTTTTTTAAACATTTTATTTATTTATTTGAGCCAGAGAGAATGAGAGAGAGAGAGAGCACACGAGAGGGGGGAGGGTCAGAGGGAGAAGCAGGTTCCTCGCCGAGCAGGGAGCCCGATGCGGGACTCGATCCAGGGACTCCAGGATCATGACCTGAGCCAAAGGCAGTCGCTTAACCAACTGAGCCACCCAGGCGCCCCAGCGCGGGTTTCTTAACTAATTTTCACTGTAGTTTTTGCAGTGATCACATCCAATTTATTCCTTTTTTCCTTTGAATGTCCGTTTACTTTTTTTTTCTATTGTGTCCATTAATGAGAAAACGCGCTCAACCTTAGCATCAGGACCCAGTATAGTGTCAAGGGGCTCCTGGCTGGGTTAGTTGGTGGAGTGAGTGACTCTTGAACTCGGGTTTGTGGGTTCAAGCCCCACATTGGGTGTACAGATTACTTAAAAATAAAAATCTTTAAACAAAATTTCAGTGTGCCAAATTCCATCTTTTACGGCACAATTCGCTTTGCCCTTCTTCAGGGTTATGCTGCATCTCCTGATCAACATTACTTTTTAAAAGTGGTGTCTACTGACCAAATAGAAGCGTTGTTCTCACTTCTTATTCCCTTCTTCAACACTGTACAGGATCATTCCATTTGTTCCCATGCTGGTATTTAGTGACGTTCATGTAAAAGAATAAAATTCTTCAGGGATTAAAACCGTTTTGGAAAGGTCATCATGGAAAGGCTGCAGTAACTATCCACTTCAAATCAGAAATTCTCTTTCTGTTCTAAGTATGGCCTTGATAGGGGCGCCTTGGTGGCTCAGTCGGTTAAGTGTCTGCCTTCAGCTCAGGTCATGATCTCGGGGTCCTGGGTTGGAGCCCCTCATCGGGCTCTCTGCTGAGCAAGGAGTCTGCTTCTCCCTCTCCTTCTGTGCTCACTCGTGCTCTCTCTCTCTCAAATAAAAAAATAAAATCTTAAAAAAAAAAAAAAAGAATAGCCTTGATCCATAAAGAGATAAAATTTTCATCAATTCTTCCTTTAACATATTCAAGAAGTTTTTGTTTTGTTTTGTTTTTTGTTTTTTAAGATTGACTGACTTTGAGAGAGAGAATGAGCGGGAGGGGCAGAGGGAGAAGGAGAGAATCTTAAGCAGACTCCATACCGAGATCACAACTTGAGCCGAAACCAAGAGTGGGATGCTTAACCCAGAGCACTTAACACTGTTTTCTGTTCTTTCAATTTGCATAATTCTATTGCTAAACAGATACTGGAAATTAAAAGTAAAAAAAAATAAAGTAGGCTTCCCAACGTGGATTATTTTATTTTAGTTTTTAAAGATTTTATTTTTATTTTTAAAAAAGATTTTATTTTAAAATAATCTCTACAGCCAGCATGAGGCTTGAGCTCACAGCCCCGAGATCAAGAGTCACACGCTCCACCACCTGAGCCAGCCAGGCGTCCCCGTGGCTTATTTTAAACGTCAAGAATTTGGGTGGCTTTTCTTCAGAATGAAAATATAATTTCAGCACTTCAAACAAACAAACTGAGGATTTTCTCAACTTTATCTGTTAAAGAGTGCCACTGGGGGGTTTTGAATGAGAGAGAGTTGAAAAATACTGCAAATACAAACAAATCGCAACAATCCTTTGATCCCTCAGTTGCAATAGCACAAAGGGTAAGAAAACAGTTTCCCGACACTTCAGTGTCAGTAGAAGAGCCCACGAGGCTGTTTGAGCAGCATTGTGTAGAAAGGCAGGGCAGTCAATGCCTCCCACAGAATCCTGCTTTGAATAAATATTGTCTACATCTCCCACAAACAGCCAGCAAAATTATATTTGTAGTATCTCCCATCAAAAGCAGTGAAATTCTTCCTGTTTACTGCCAACTCATTGTGAAAAATAGGACAACAGTCCCAACATGGAGGTGCTTATGCTAAGCCCCATGTCCCCAAACCCAGGCATACAGTTTCGGCTCTCTCAGATGCGGAATCTGAGTCACTCAGGAATCGCCCTGATCGGCACCAGTCAGGTAATCTGCCTGACAGACCCCTGAAGGAAAGCAACCTTGCAACAAGCAACCTGTTTTTTGGCCTCCTGTAACTTCCTTGCTCCTGCCCCTTTCGGCCCATAGAAGTCTTTCACTTTGTGCAGCTCCCTGGAACACCTATTTGCTCCATTGGATGCTGCCCAATTCATGAATCATGGACTAGAGCCAATAAGATCTTTAAATTTCGCTTGGTGGAGTTTTGTTTTTTTAACCTCAGTAAGGGAGTCTCCGTGAACATTTGCTATTGTTTCTGGGGTCTCATCTGGAAGGGATTCTACTTGTACAAGTCTTAGAAACAAGCTTTGATCACAAGAAAAGTATTTCAGAAGTCAGGGGAAATGATTCTGTCCTTCCCAGCTGCTTACTGGGGACCCCTCTTGGAGACACACCACATACCTGCATTTACTGAAGGCTCACAGGTGTCCTGTAGTAAAAATTATTTATTTAATTTTTTAAGATTTTTTTTTTTAAGATTTTATTTATTTATTTGAGCCAGAGAGAATGAGAG